TAGGAGTGCCCTGCTGAGGTGTTTGTCTCCCCAGGTACGAGGAGCAGCAGCACAACTGCTTCACCTTCGCCCTGGCCTTTGTGAACCGCATGCGGCAGGGCCGGGGCCGGGAGCCCCTGAGCAAGGCCCAGTTCACCGAGAGCTTCCTGCTGCCCCACACCAGGGAGGCCTCCAGGTACCTCACCCTGCACCAGCAGCTGGCTCACACAGATGTCTACATCGTGCCCTTGGCTGAGCAGGAGCAGGACAGCGTGGCAGCAAACCAGAGCTTACTGGAGTAGCAGTGGGAAAGGAAGGTTTGAGGCTCCACAGCTCAGGGTTTAGGGTTTAATGTAGGTAAAAACACCATTAACTTCACCCTGCACCTCTGGGAGGGATGAGGATACTGAGATTGTGCATTCCAGTGAAGTAACACACACACAATGTACACACGGCCTACAATTGCCATGGGAACTGTTCCTGTGCAAAAACGTTTTCCGATTTAGCATTCCCTGTGTGCTCTGTTCTGCAAAGACACTTCACCCCAGAAATCAGAACTGCTGTGGAATTCAGGGCTTTACAAATGGACTGTGGGAACTTCAGCTGTAGCAAACCAAAATGGCCTTTTCCTGTCACATTTGTTTACTGAGTGAAGAAAAGGGAACACTGCTTGTGTGCTGCTGAAATCCCAAATCCCTGTCTGTTCATTTCCTTTCCTTTAATTACTAATAAATATACCAATAAATAAATCCAGACTCTTTGCCCATCAAGACTGCTTGTTCCATTCTAAACTGCATGGTAAAGGAAAGAAGCAAAGGTGGAATTCAGATTCTTGAATGTAAAGCTGCAAATCCTAATGGAAGAAACACATCTCACCTAGATGGGGAAAGGTGCCCAGGCCCCAGAATAAATTTAAATTCTGGGAAGAGTTCTTCAATTCTGAGCTGTGACTGTAAAAATAAGTTCCAGGGTCCCAACTACAACAACCCAACCTCTTCTCAAATCCAAATCTCAATTCACCAACACTGTGAAGTCAGGTTTGTGCTGCCACAGTATCAGAAATACCATTCCTAATGACTGCAGTGTGGCCACCACTCAAACATGCATCTTTTTCTCTTTTATTTTATATTTTGAGTTGGGACACAGCTTTAATTTTTTCCCTTTCATTTGTTCAGTTACATTTTCTTCAGTAAACATGGTATACCTCATTTTAAACAGCATTTATATACACTCACCAAATGAGTATGTTGGTAGAAAATGTTCTGAGGCAACAGTTCATCACAGGATCAGGTAAAAAGCAAGAAGTGCTTTTTAAAAACTGAGGTTTTTCTTGTGCAGTCAGTTAAAACTCATCCTGCTCACTGCGCTCACGGGAGGAAACCCAACGAGTCACGATCAGCTCCTGAAATAAACCCAACAATTCTTATGGAAAACACCCCAAAGCTACAGGAAATCAGTGAGGGATGGGGACTAGGTCTGTAACATTGGTGTGTATTATGTGACCACTGAGATGTTTTAGTAGATGACTGTTCCTGAAGTGAGCTGAACTCTCACACACTTTGCCCCTTTTATTTCTGAACTTACCTTAGCCCTGCCATCTCCAATTTTTTTAGAAATCTCTATTTGCCCATGCAAATGCTTACATGCACAGCATCAGCAACATTCACATTTAGATTAGAAGATTTTAAGTCTATAGAGATCCTGCAATGCACTTTTCATGACTTGGGGCATGAAGGAATTAAATTTGATTGCAGGCATGTGTGCAAAACCCCAATCAAGCCAAAGAACAAGGCACAGTTCTCCCAAGGAGCTGCAAAAAAGCAGGAACCACTCACCTGAACTTTGATTCTCTTCATGCACTCTGGGGTTGACATCTCCTCTGCAGTCATGTCAGAAGGTCTGATCAAATAGCACAGCATGAGCTCCTGGGGGCAGCCAGGAAACACAGGAATTTCAGTGCATTGTGGAAGCACCATGAAGCTCACACAGAAAATCTCAGGGAAATTTCAGTCCCACTGCTCAAAAGAAAATCCTGGGAGATGGAAAGGGCTTTAAAAACAGAAGTGGCAATCAGGAAACAAGTGTCCCTTGGGTCTTCTTGTGCTTCCTCACACAACTGTTAACATTCCTACATGTGGCAGAACTTTAATAATTATTATTTAATAATAATTCCTCCAGGATTCATCTGGATATTAACAAAGGAAACGTCTCTCCCTACTGGCAGCTCAACATATTGTTCAGCAGGAAGATTCTCTCCCCAGCCTCACTCCAAGTCCTGCCCTTTGGAGCCAAACTTTATCATCCCAAAGTTGTTTTTACCCCAGAACTTGTACCTTAGAAGCATTTGCAGTTGTTCTGTTCAGCCCAGAAAGGGACATCCAGCTGAGGGGTCTGCGAAGGGGACCTTCAAAATTATCATCCACCAACTCGGCAATGACAGAGTAACTGGAAAACACAGCAGGCAGGACAAGTCACAGAAAGGGAATTGCCATTTTCTGAAGACAACTCAAGAACTAGAGGCTAAAAACTGCCATTAAACAATCTGCCAGCTTGCAGGTTGCAAGCTGTGAAATTGAGTCTTTTTTCTATAAGGAAAAGAGGAGAAATACTGAAGTTGTGGATGTGCCCAATGGCACCTTCCCTCCCCACCCTTCTGCTGTTTGCTCTTTGTTAATGCCAAGCTGACATTTATAATAAATTAATTATCTAGGAGTACAACCTGACTAGACAACAAATAAAGACAATTATCATCCCTTGAAAGTTCTCCCAAATTACAGAAATTACCCAGACCACATATTTTTCTAAGTCAGTATTAAAAAATCCAATTACTTTCCTGAGTGCACCATCATATGAGTACTAAATTCACTGCAACTTGTAATTTTTAATGCCTGTTCTTTAAAATCAAAGAGATGGTGCCATTTAGCTCTTCTGCTGAAAGGATTTTCACATTCCCAGCTGGCAAAGGAATGAGCCAGAAACACGAGTGTCAAACCTGGCATGGTAGAAGGGGGGCCCTTTTCGATACAGCACTGAAATGACAGAGAAACATCTCAGTTAGATCAGGGTTTCCAGGAGTTTAATACCAGGGCCCAGCAATATTGTCAAATGTTTGGTAAATTTTAATTACACAAGACAAAGCTTCAACTCTTCTGAATTCTGCTCAGAATGAGGTTGTCCCAGCAAGTGGAGAGAGGCAAGAGCACCAGGGGGGCTCAGGGCAGGTCAAAGGTAAGGGAGAAGAAGGAGAGGAATTCGCAATTGTTGTAGGAAAGAGGTGAGGGTGGAATTTTTTGGCAGGGATGATGAATTCAGCCAGAGCTACACACTGACCTAAAGGACTTGCTCAGCACAACCCCCAGACTGTGTCACCACTTCAGCAGCATTAAAACAGCTGCTGGGTAGCACACAGCCAAAAATACCTCACTTAATGCACATTCTCCTGTAATAACAGGCATTACTGCACTGCTTATGTTGACATGAGCTAAATGGAGCTCTTGAATTCCTTACCAAGGACACCACTAATTACTTCTGTAATATTAAACCCCCAACTAATAATGCAAAAAGCCAAGTCCACTCTATCTCCCCCAAAAGCCCCACACAAAGAACCAGTCTAAGCAGTAAGTTCAGCAGAAATCCAGCTCCTCTCAGATGGGATGAATGAGGTGCATGAACTTGAATGTGAATTGAACAGGATTCAAACCTGTTACTCTAGAGACACTGCAGGAGATGTGTTTAGAAGGGGACAGAGAAAGTTGGGAAGTGAATTTCAGTGCAATCCTGTCGGAATTATGAACCTCATGAAACACACCAGACCTTCCAAGCTGTCTCTTCACCTACTGGATATGGGATGTTCCTTTCCACTCACATCCCAACATCACTGCTATCCCCAAATACCCTTTGCCAACTCCAAGCAGCAAAGGCTGCTCCAGTCCTGCAGCTCCTCACTGAATTCCTCTCTGGGCCTGGAGCTCTGCCTTGCCTGGAGGAGAGGTGAGCAGGAAATGATCCCATTTTTGGGGAGGTACTCACAGAGATCTGTGCCATACTTCAGCCCCACCTTGGGCACCCAGCCCTTGCCCCTGAAGTAGTGGTAGGCCATGTAGGTGGTTTTGAAATCAGGCTTCACCTCACTGAACACTTCCCACAGCTTCACAATGCTCAGGGGCTCCTGCAAACCACACAGCAAGGTCAGTGCACTGATAGAAACCAGCCATGCTCTGCTGCACAGCCAAATATCAAATGTCACACCAGCCAAAATACCAAACAGCACAGGCTGCTGCACAGAGCACCAACCACAGACACTAAAACACAGAACCCCTCCATTCAAGACAGGAACCTGGTGCTCCACTGAGTGGGCTTTTTAGGCAGTTCTCAGTCAGCCCCATAAGACCCCTGCTAAAGGAAAGGCTGACAAATCTTCAACTAAAAGCACAGGTTTGAACCATTATGGCATTACATGAATAGAATTAATAGATGTATTACATGCTAGAATTAATGTTTAAAACTCCAAGGAATTTTGCCATCTCAGGTGTGATTATTCACCATATTATTTCTACTACATTTCTTGCCTAAGTTACAACAAAAATCCTTTCTCTGCAGACAGACAATGCTTAAAGCTTTCAGACCTGTATTTCCTAAACAGAAATACCATTACTTGTAAGAAAATCTTCCCAATTCCTCTGTTTGGTATTTCCTCCTCCAGAATTAACAGCACAAATCACTGCCATACAGGTAAAGATTCAGACCAAACCATATCCAGAGAAAAAGCATCCCCAATAATCCAAAATTAATCTCTTACCTCACCGTAATAAATACTTAAACATCCCAGAGCATACACCAAGAAAAAAGCCTGAAAAAACAAACAGTCAGTTTAACTGATAGCTACATTCCTCCTGCAGTTTATACACAAAGCCTGGCAAGAATAAAGGCTTCATTAATTAATTTTCTACAATGTCATCCCTGCTGAAGGCACGGTGTTCAAACTAATACAGAAGTATATTTAGAAGCAGCAGAACTCAATCAGGACTCATATAAATGTTTTACTCCTGATATTTCTATATTTAAGTCCTGTCACTGGTCTCTGTGTCAGTGGAATTACTCACCTAAAGCAAATAGGATTGGACCCTACTTTTTAACCATCTCATGTAATTATCACAGCTTATTAAAGCTAAATTTAATGACTAAGACAATCCAGGTACTTAGGAAATACAGTAGGACCCGGTATTTTAGAAACATGCTTTAAGTGACACTGTAACAGATTAAAGTTTACTTTTTCAGATGAAAAGCAAATTAACTTGCACTGTGCTTCACACCTACCTCTTCCAAGCTGAGTTGTAAGTACTCAAAAATCCTAAAAGGGTTTTTTCTGCATACTAATACTTCCTTCTTGACAAGCTATAAGGAAAAAGTGACTACTATTAAAACGTTGAAGTGGAAAGAATACTGAATTCTGAAAGTAGCTTTTTCTAAAAGGTTAGGATATTTTTCTTACATTCTCTTGTGCATGAGTGGAATCATCTTCAGGACAGGAGCTTCCTTCTTCCTCCTCTTGCACCAGCACATACTCTGGAGCACATTCCCTTGAATCCATCCCCTCCCAAGCCCTCTGCTCAGGGCTCTGCTTCATCTCACAGCCAGAGAGCACAGGAGGGTCGCTGTGGGAGGAGCCTTCAGCCATTTCCCTGGGATCCCCCTGTTCCTGCTGCCCGGGATCCCCCTGTTCCTGCTCCCTGGAGCCACTGTCAGGACCCACGGCTGCATCTCCTCCCTCCTCAGAGTCCCCGTTCTGACCCTCAGGGCTTTGGGCAGATTTCCTGCTCAGTTCTGCATTTCCTGGCTTTGGGTCCCCTCTGGTGCAGCTGTCCCCAGTTTGTTCAGCCCCATCCTCTCTGGAGAAGGGCAGCCCCAGGGGTTTGGTGTAATTCTGCAGGATTTTGGTGATGGAGCAGTCGTCGAGGCCCTGCTCCTGCAGGACACTTTTAGCCCACTGCACACGGCGCTGGTACCTGGGGAACACAAGAAATGAGCGATTCCAGGGATTCCATCCTTTAATTAACACTTTGAAACCCCAGAAGGTTTGGTACAGTTCACAAACATCCCCCAGCAGCTGCTGGGCACAAACGTGATCGATGCAACGGGGCTCCAGCTTTTTAGGGAGTCTCATGAACATCAGGACTCTGCAGCCTCCTGTGCCTTTGTTTGGCCTTTTCGATTTCTCAGGCAGCAAACAGCATTGCTGAACCCTGCCCAAGCTGCTGTGCAGGTTCAAGGAGCAGGAACCTCAGCAGGCACAAAGTCCCTTCTCCCATGAAAGCCTTAAGCCTGAATTCCTCACAAAACCACGCTGGAATTGCAGGATTAAAACATGGAACAAGAGCCCTCTCATTTCAGCTTTTACACAGCCAAGGAAACAGCAATGGCACAGCAGAAACACCAGAGGAAAAATCTCCAGCAGAAACCAAAGCCCTCAGTTATATCCCTGAGAAATGACAACAATCCCATCACTGAGATACTGACAACTCTCAGCTACTATTTCTAATATTTTTCAATTATGACAGAGTTTTCAGTGCCTTTTCAGTTCCCTCCCTTGGAAAGTAACATCAATACCCAGTTGAAACATGACTTCACTTTGTGAAAGTGCAAATATTGTACAGCATTTTTTATTTCCCTGAACAAAATCCTCAGGCAGCAATTTCAGCCCAGGTAACAAAGACAATTAAATGCAAATTCCATGTGTCAACACAAATACAAGTCCCTCTGCAGGCCCCTGATAAAGCTGGATAATTCAGTGCTGTGCTCTTTGTTATACAAAGACACTCCTCTTTGTCCTATTATTTAATTACCATTTAATTTGCACTTGCAGATCTCTAGTGAGGCAGAGCATTTTGTGCACCAATAAAATCACACTTTTATTGATGCTCAGCATCTGCAAGCAGTAGTAACTGCAGTAGCATTAGCAATAATATGGTTACTGTTATTCTTACCTAGAATTGAGGGTTGCAGGAGCATATTTTTCAAATTTAAGTGGATTTTTAAAATTATCATAAGATTAAAACCAACTGAGTAACTCACTTGCACATGCTTAATAGTTTATAAACTGTTTAAGCAGAAAAAAATATGTGGTCCATGTACTCTGTTTTGCTAAGTGTATAAACTATCAAGGTTAACTTTAAAAATGTAATTATACTTAGCAATGATACTTTTAAAAAAGTGAAATATCAATGTCTTGTAAAAGGTCAAGAGCTGCTTCAGCTACACCATAAAAATCCCATATGGAAATGGAGAGATATTTTAAAAAGCCTGCCCCAGAAACTTATTTTCCTCACCTGAAGAATGTTTATTATGTAATTGTTATTAATTAATTACCCATTCTATGCATGCACTCAGCCTTGGTTTCTATTCAGCAATCAACACCTACAAGCTTACATGAAAAACCACCCTGAGTATCATCCCCTACCCAGTTTCTACTTCTTCTAAAGTGATTTTTAAATGAAATATATATAATAAATAAGATATCTATATAATATATATTATAAATGAGAAGAAATAGAAGCAAGTCACCCTCATTATTTGTACAGCCAATAACCTGAAACCCAGTATTAGAAATAGAAACCAGAATAATCTGTTTCCTAAAAAAACCAAGAAAAAGGCAAATTAACTTACTTTTGTGATGTAATTATGGGCATGTTTGTGTTAATACCTGTGTAGAGAAAAATAAGACATTGTTTCATCAATATAAAGATGGTTTTGTGTGATTTTGATCACTGGGGTGATTTGCAGCCTTGGAATTGTCCCCATTTTGAGTCCTCAAAGCCATTTTGGTCCCACTTTTCAAGCAGGGACGCAGCAGAACCAGGAAAAGTACAAATGTAGCAGCCTGCATAGAGAATTTTCTCCAGATAATTATGGAGGGACAGGATAAAGCCCAGTCATGGCCACTAGGACTTCACTGTCATGGGAGAGATGAGTAAAAAATGAAATTTTATATAAACAGCCAAGAGCAGACTGAAAACTTCATCAATCCTTCCTTCATCATTTCAGAGACACCAAAATCTGCAGATTAAACCCCAGGAAAATAAGGGGGGAAAAAAGCCCCAGGATGATCCCTTTACTTCAGTCTTCCCAGCAACAAGTCAGTGAAGGTTTGGGAGAATGCACTAGGGATTATCCACATGGATTTCATATTGTTGGATTTTTCCTAGGCACGAGAGAAGGGGAGAGAAACACAACCTTCACCTGATCCAATCCAGCAGATTGTCCTTCTGCAGGTCATTTATAAAAATATAAAGATACACCTTCAGTGAGTGAGGAAAGGTGAGAGGAGCTACCAGGGCAGTGCTGAGGTACAAAGAGCCCCCATTTACCTCTCCACTTGGCCACCAGCAGAGGATCTGAAATGCTGAACACTGGCCTGCTCCTGGACAGGATCCCTTTTCCAAAATAGCCCTGCAAAGGACAGGAAAAACCCCAAATTATCTCATGGCACAGCAATTTACTTCTTTCCCAGTTATAAAATGTGGAATGGTGAGATCAGCTGGAACAAAGAGCTGAACTCCTGTAGCATTTCAGCTCTGCCTAAGCTTGTTTAGCTGCTGGTGACTGGTTCAGTATTAAACACCTGATTTAACCAAGTGTTTAAATCCCATTTAGCCTGGAGAGTGTTGGGTCTTCTTCCTGAGTTCTAAATATTTGTCAGCCAACATCTCCCAGCAAATGTCTGAAAATAACACCTGAAATCAAAGAGATACCACTGCATTGGAATGCTCCTGAAATGGTACTCAGACACAAATAACTTAACACTTAACTTGTTAACTTAACACAAAAACTTGACTCTTAACACAAAAAACTTAGCTCGTTTTACACAGAAATAAATCACTCTGAAATGAAAAAAATAATACAAGCATTTATAGAACATTAATATTTCAACTCCCTGAGCTCTAAAAACAAGAAAATGCTTTGAAAAGTTGCATGAAATGTTGAAAGGAGACATAAACATGAAGGTTTTCCAGCTGTTCCTTAGCTCACAATGTCACTTCATTCCAAAATTCATTTGCTTGGATAAGAAAGACTTTTCACATTTGATACAGAATATAGTTTTTTGTACTGATTTCAGGAGAGAAGGGAAATATGGAGAATCACAGGAGACTGGAGGGGCAGGAATGCATAAAGGCAGCAGATTTGAACCAGCATTATGTTTTACCTGCATTTAAAACACAACAAATATCGTGCAAACAGGGTGCAGCACCTTGTTGTAGAGCTGTTCAATATCCTCGGGGTTCCTCACAATCACATTGTTGTTAATGATCTCAGCCTGGCACAGTCTGAAATCCTTCCCCCCCACATCCACGGGAAAGGGAGCCTCATATGACTCAAAAACTCTTCTTTTCCTTCTTGGGGGGTGAAAAACTGCTTCTGCCATTTCTTAATCTGTCCTCCTAAAAAGTGGAAAGAAAAGATTTAACACCCTGGAATTAAGGTGCACCCATTTTCTGTGTTTCAGCAAGACCCCCTTCTACAATAGCAAATTCTCCGTGGATCCTGCAGGGTGACACAGGTTTAATTCTGCAACTCTTACACCAAACAAACAAACACAGGCTGGCGTGTGCTGGAGATCTCTGATCTGGCTCTGGGGCATCCAGGGATGCTCCACAGCCTGGGGTTTATAAAGAAAACTCCAGTAATAAAGGAGTAAAACACAGGAATAAAACAGAGGAATGAGCACAAAAGCAGGAACCATCCAAGTGCGTAAATATGAACCAGTTCTGAGCAGAGTGAGCTGCAGGAGCGCTCGGACAGCGCTCTCAGAGCAGGCTGGGATTGCTGGGCCGTGTGGGCCAGGGGCTGCCTGGGAGCTCCCGTGGGTCCCTCCCGGCTCGGATACTCCGGGATATTCCCAGATTTCTGTGCCTGGCACCCACGGAACACATCCTGGGAACGGCCGTGCCTGGCAGCATTCCCTGCCTTACACTGAGATCCCCTCAGGGCTGCACCAGGATCCCCTCAGGGCAGCACCGGGATCCCCTCAGGGCAGCACCGGGATCCCCTCAGGGCTGCACCGGGATCCCCTCAGGGCAGCACCGGGATCCCCTCAGGGATGACCGGGATCCCCTCAGTGCAGCACCGGGATCCTTTCAGGGCTGCACCGGGATCTCCTCAGGGATAGCCAGGCTCTGCTGCGAGACCCGGTCCGGTCCCGGTGTGTCCCGGTGGGCAGTGCCTGGTCCCAGGGTGTCCCTGTGGGTTTGAGGGGCAGTGTCCGGTCCCGGGGAGTCCCGGTGGGTTCGGCCAGACCGAGCCGGGCCGTTCCCGCCGCCCGCGCGCGCCACGCACCGTCACTGTCACCGTCACCGCCGCGCCGCCACCGCGCCTGCGCACTGAGCCCGCGAGAGAGCGGCCCCGC